GCCCGCGGGGGGGGGGGGGGGGGGGGGGGGGAATCGAGGAAAGAGGGACCGATTTGCCACCCCGTCCCGCAGGAAACCCCCTTTACCTGTGCCAGGCTCTGGTCTGCTCTGCCCATTTTCTCCTCCGCATCCACCTCCAGCTGGCTCAGCTCCTCCACCTGCGGCACAGAGGGACCGCGGGGGGGAGCCGGGTCAAACACCAATTCTCCAGTGATTTAACACTTATTAAAGGAAATTTCTTACTTCCAGCCCCCGGAGCTATGCATGGGGCTGGTTTTCGCATGCACACAGGAATAAGCCCAGCCCCACGTCTCCCGCCCACCGAGGGGACCCTCCATCCCTTCCTTCACCTTCTGCCACATCGTGCTGCCGTCCATCACCAGCAGCTCATCCTCCATGGCGGCCTCCGGCCCTGGGGGCTGCTCCTTGCCTTTCTCCAGGCAGTACTGCCTGTACAGGTACTCGATCACCCTGGCAGGGGAGAGGGCAAGGCTCACGCACCCACGACAAGGACCGAGGCTCCAGGGCAGCACCTGGGCAGGGTCCCAGGGAGCTCCCAAACCCCTCTGTGGGGCAGCCCCCGGCTCAGCACCCCCCTACATCCCCCTCACCTGTGTGGGCAGGGAGGGCCCTCTGCCTCCGAGGGGGCTGCCAGCAAATTGTCCTGTCGCCCCGGCACCAGGTAGCCCCAGCCGTGCTTCTCCGAGTAATGGAGAGGGAAGCCGTCCCAGGCCAGGCGCATCAGCTTCGGGGTCACCCTCATCTGCAGGCTGATGAGGCTGGGTCCCGGCACCCACCCCACCTCCTCCAGGCGCGGGCACAGCTTGCGGTACCAGCTGGGGAGCAGCAGGGATGGGTCAGAGAGCGCAGGGCAACCCTCGGGGACAAAACAGAGAGCGCAGATCAACCCTCGGGGACACCCAGGGTCCCCAACTCACCCCGGGTGGCCCGGCAGGTGCTGGAGTCTCTTGGGTTGCAGCGCAACCGTCTCCTTCAGACGCTCCAGGCAGACCTGGCTCGCAGGGGCTTTCAGCTCCTCGTCCTCACTGGGGGGGCCGGGGTCTGGTGGGGCAAGGAGGACTGGCTGGCAAAGAGCCCTCCGTGACGCCGTGCCAGGGACGGGGACCTCGAGCCAGCCCCCCACCACGCGCCCCAGCACGGGGACGCAGGCCAGCGATGCTTCACCCTGCCGGCACCAACAAACCGTGTCCCTTCGTCTGGGCACCCACGGGAAGGCGTCCCTCGAGCATCCCTCGTCTCCAGGGACCACCCGCACTCACCTTCCTGCCACTCCTGCGTGGACCCGTCTGAGCCCACCGCCTCTGCGGGGGCTTTGCTGTTCCTGTTCTGATTCTTCTTCTTCTTCCCCGGATTCTTCTTCTGCTTAAACTCCTGCGTGTCCCACTCGAGATCCCAGAGCCAGGGGTCATCTTTGTACCTGCCGACACACCATTGTCACACCGCAGCTTTGCTCCCGTCCCCAGCACTCGCCCGCAGCCCCCCCATGGACCACCCGGCGTCCGGTCTCTGTCCTGCAAGCGGCAGGACCTGCACCCCCAGCCCACGGGTACTTGTCCTCGTGCAGCAGCTGGCAGGCGTCATTGGCCAGGTTCATCAGGGACTTCTTCATCTCCTTCTGCAGCTCCTCGTAGATGCCCTGAGCATCATCCAGGTACCTCTTCCAGTTCCCGTTGACCGGCAGGTAGGACACCCCCATCTCCAGCATCCCTGCAAACGTCACGGGGTGGGGGCACCTAGAACGCAAAGCAGCAAGAAATTAGATGTCTGCTGGAGGGGATTTGCCCTGGAAGCACCAGACTACAATGGACATGAACGTGTCTTCACCTAGAGTTTCCCAGCCCTACGGGGAAGGGAAGTTCCCAGCCCATCCCTTGATGCTCTTCCCCTAAACCTGTAATGATCCCTGTATCTTCTACCTGCCTGCACATAAATTGCTGCCCTAAAAACAACCCTGTGCAATAACCCCAAAGCTGTATCGCTCCGATCTGCCTCATTAAGTCTGCTCACCTTCTCCAGACACGCTGTGCTGCTGTTTATTCCTTCTCACCTACAGAGGGGGAGTCTGACGTCCCTCCTGAAAAGGGGTTCAGGGCCCCCCCCAACCTCCCACCGCCACCCCAAGGACAAGAGGAGCCGCACCCCATGCCCAGAGGTTCCACAATCCTCCCCACTGCCGGCGAAGACCACAGCCCCTCGGCCAACGCCGGCCAGAGCTCGGCGGCTCTCACCTCTCCATGAAGAGTGGCAGCTGCTCCTGAAACACCGGCCTGGACATCGCGGGCGCAGTACGACATCAGGTCCTGGGGGCAGAGGCAGGTGAGAGCAGGCAAAGCAGCCGCCCCTCTGCCAGCATGGGGCAAGGCACCCGGGGCTGCGGGAGGATGAGGGACTTCACAGCCCCACGCACCCCCAAAGCCCTCGCAAGAAAGGGCGGCAAAATGGCAACTACCCCGGCAGCTGCTCCCATCCCGCTCCCATTTCCAGCTCCTGCTGCCCGTCGGGATGTTGGGATCGCCGCCCGCACCTGGAAGTGACTCCTGATGTCGGCCATGCTCCCCTTCACAAAGAGCTCCCGCGCCTCCTTCTCCAGCGGGTCCCCCCCGACGTACAGCGCGTGCACGTCCGCCAGGTTGTTGATGCTGCTGACGTTCACCCAGTCCCACGAAGTGACCTGTGAACGAGAGGGGGGTCAGACGGTGCGGGACAAGGATGGGCCGCGGCCAAGATCAGGAGGAATAAAGGATGCTGCTGCTCCATTCTAAACCAAGGCCACCTCATCCGGAGGGCGCTGGGAGAGCTTCACCCAGCAGAGCTGCTCTAACAGCTCCTACTCAGCCAGCACAGGAGCTGACGGTCCCGGTACAGGAGCAAACGGTCCCATTACAGGATCAAACGGTCCCCTGCCACCCACGCCACTGCCAGCGGCTCAGCTCCCTTACTCACAGCTGGCCCCTCCGTTTTGCTGCGCGTTTTCTTCATGTGCTCCTTGACCTGCTGCAGTCCCCTCCTCTTGCCGTGCTTGGCAGCCATCCAGAGGCTGCGCTGGAAGCCCGTCAGCCCCGAGATGGCCATGTGCATGCTCATGGTGTCCAGGAAACGCACCCGGGAGCCCTGAGGCGCATCAGGGGAGAGAGGAGAGGTGGTCTGGGTTGTGCTGGAGGAGGAACGTGCTGCCAAATGTCCTGTAGCTGCCAGCAAGCACCGCCCTGTGTTACAGAGCTGCAAGTCCTCTGCTCGGGCCGCTTTTGTCAAGGCAAAGTTTTACCTCCTGGCACCCCTCTCCTGAGAGCCGAGAGCATCCCCAGCGCAGGCTGTCAGCTGCTCAAAGGCTCCTGCCACATGTCCAGCTGCAATCCTGCAGCCTCCAGCAACCTTATGGGGTGCAAGAATATCTCCCTCTAAAGGGATTCAACCTCAACCCGTGCTGCGGGACAAGGCGAGCACAACCATGGGGTATCTGTCAAAATAACCCTGAAAAGCCAGCGCAAACGACTATCCGGATAACGAACCGCAGCTGCCGGCATGAAGCAACGGCACCGCGGATTACCTGGATGAGGTACTGCTCCTTGATGAATGCCCGGTCGAAGGCCACGTTGTGCCCCACCACCACTCTCTCCGGACAGTCCTGCTTGCCGGCACAGCCGGTGCCCGCCGGGCTCTCCAGGGGAATGAGGTCGGCCAGGGTGAGGTGGCTGGACCAGGAGTACCGCTGCTCCAGCAGCCGCTTGGCGGC